AATCCAGTTTATAGTTATTAAACATAGAGTCCATATTAATCATTCTTAAGTAGTTGCAATCACTAACACCTTTTTCATGCATATTTCCATCATACATATTATCATAACCTAAAATAGGCCTAAGGCCCTTCCATCATAATTAGACATGCATCAATACTATTACAATATGGCTTTACAAATTACAACTTGAAACTAAAACTTCAAATTACATTCTTCTAAAATTTCAACTTAATTTAAAAGACAACATAACCAAATACATCACTACTAGACTTAGGCAAAATGGCATGAACAAGATGCTAATGAAGCTACTAATAAATACAAATGACATGTTCATGCCCTAAGTCTAGCCTAGGCCACACGGCCAACAAAATGCAAAATAAGAAACGCTCAATCGCTCACTCTGCGGGCCTCTTGCCCGAGGCTCCTGCTCCACTGCTACCTCCTGAAATAAATGCCCCGAGACGGGGTGAGATATACGAATATATCTCAGTAACCAAGAGGTTCTGGAGAAAACTCCACCCAATGGTTCACTTCGATGCATATCAATAGAATACAACAACCACTTTGAAAACGGGATATAGCAAGGGATTTAGAGAATGGGGAATATAAAGAGAACAAAATACGACGATACGGGATGGTAACCCCAATTCCACGTACGCCCTCGGCATATATAAGCCTATGGGTATCATCCAAGGTGTGTTCACAGAAACCACAACCATGATGCCCAAACCAACCAAAACGCCAAAGACATTCCTAGTGTGCTCCTACCCGGATCACACACCATGACCGCAGTCAACTGGAACTCCCTCCTGGAGACCTATCCAGCGGAAGTCCGAAAATGCCCGAAGGCTAATAAAACTGTCTACTGGCCAGAGACTCGGTACATAAGTACCCATAGCAATAATGCATGCATGCTCATGTGTTATATACTATTCATACACACTTCCTACCGTTACCATCAACTGGAAAGGTGGAACAGAAAAGGGGAACAAGCCCCAGTACCAAGAGGTTACCTTAATTCGTGTTTCCACAAGCTCCGCAGCAGCTTATCCCTCAACTCGGTACACAGCGGAATGCCTACACAGAGGACATTCCCAATCACTCTCAGTTCAACCCATACATGTTAATTTATAATTACACATGCAATGAACCAATTTCTTACCTCAATCCACTTGGTCCCGGACCAAGGGCAATTCACTGATTCAAGATTCGGGATTCAGGTCGACGTACGGCAACCTATACAATAATGTACATCCATCAGTACTCGTAAAATAGTATCAAAACGCAAAAACACAAAAATCCTTCCCATCCTCCCTTGATGGTTCGGCCATTGTAGTGTAAATGTGAGATTTATTTTTTTAAATTTTCTTTCTCATTTTATAACACTCCCTTAGGTTGTTTAGAGGCTAGTTCAATCGTCGTTTTTCCGTTTTCCGACATTTACGCATCGTTTTGCGAAATATTTCATTCTGGGCTCATTTAGGTCTCTAACACAATTCATTTTTTTCCATTGATTCAAACACTCTCCAAGCACAACACAACCCATCTAAGCACCATATAACTACACAAATCATCATCCAAATCATTTTTCAACATCAATTCCTCAATCTTTCCTCAAAGAATCGAATTTTACCCTATGGCATTCCAAGGAATTTCCATACAACTTTAATCATTCCACACCTCATACAATCCTATTATATCAACATACAATCATACAACAACTCATCAATCCAATCCTAACACATTTTCAAAACTCAAAGTCATGACAACCTCAAAATTTTCTAAGTTAAAAATTCACATTTTTCATCAATAATTTTTATTGCATTTATGGCTACTACACATCATTCTAAGACACATTCATGTACAAACATTTTCCAATTGAGCTCTCTAAACACATCAATCCAACAAGCCCTCTTTAGGGTTCATAAATTCAACCACAAAATTAAACCATTGGAACACAAGGAAACTCACCCAAAAGCTTGGCACAAGGCTCCTCCTAAACATACTCCACCATTGGAGCATCAATCAACACCATTTTCACAAATCTAAAGGAAAGGGCCGCAGCTTTGGGGAGGGTTTTTCTCAAAATCTAGTGGCTTTCAAGGCTTGGGAGTACCACCAATGGATTTAGAAGGCCATTTCCATCAAATTTCAAGACAAGAATCAATGGATTTGGTGAAGAAATGGCTAAGTTATGGTGAAATGAAATCTTGGAGGGGAAGGGCTATGGTGGCTGCGGGTTTGAGCAAGAAGAGGGAGGAAAGTGATGCATGAATAGTGCCAAGCACATGTGGCTTAAGTCACTTAAGTGGGGTGGGTCCCACCGCCACCTTACGCGATTTAAAACTAATCCGAATTTTCCTCCGATTCCACTAAACGTCCGTAAATTCACAACCTATTTAGAAACTCAAATTTTTAACATTAACTATTCCCCTTTAAATATGTTTGTTCAGATGAATTAAGAGTCATCCATTCGTTCGGAGAAAACACTGTTTTAAGCTATTATGCGCGTCATTGGCACGCTTCCCCAAACTGTCTTAATTTCATCGAATATTATAAGAAATCATATTTCCTAACTCATTAGACCATTTTTAACTCATATTTGAAACCTAGAGCTCAAAACTCAATCGGCACGTTTTACGGTGCAATCGTACCGCGGTATTTTTACCCGCGAAAAACACTATTCACTGATTTTTCTGAAACTTGCCTGTCCACTCAATTTTTCGTTCTGAACCCATTTCCAGGGTTATTTTTACCATCTGAGACCTTCTACTCAATTTTTATCTTCCTAGGGTTGCGTGTTGGCTAATTACCGTTTTGCCCTTTCTTTGTATTTTGGCCTAATCTTTTGGATTTTCACTAATCCATCACTTGATTGCTCACTTAATATTTTAATTACTTGATTTAAAATTGTGAGGTGTTATACGTTACTATATGAATGAATATGTTAAATAACATGTATTGGTTGAAATGAACATGATTATGATTTCGTACTAAAAATGAATATGAATTTATGTTGAGGATGTTGATTATAAATTGTAAGTCTTGTTGAGGCTAGAGTCATGGAATAGGACCAAACTCACTCAAGTTTGGTGTGGATTTGAGTATGTGGGGTTAGGTGACCTCTATTGAGAGAGTGACTAGTGATCCCAGTGTGTCGAGCGACGCTTTTGATGTCTTCGTGAAGTTTCGATTTTTGACGGTGACTTCCTTGTTTGGGGATGCACTCCTCGAGACGGAGACTGTGAGAGTCAAGAATGAGCTTTTGGAGAAGATCCAATAGGCGCAAGTGCAGAGAGAGTTCATGGAGTTTGTGAAGGACCAGGACGGTGTGTCTTGGTTTGAAGAGGGACAATGTTGTTTCGTGTCCAAATGTTTGTTTCTCAGAAGGTGAAGTTAGAATGCCAGAAGACGTCTGATAAGCTTCAACCTCTAGAGATTTCAGAATAGAAATGGGAGAGCGTTTCCATGGACTTCGTGATGGGTTTGCCTAATACTTAGGTTGGCTGCGACTCTATCTGGGTTATTGTGGACAAACTGACGAAGTCTGCCCATTTTCTTCCAGTGAAGGTGAGCTTCACTGCCGAGCAGTTGGCCAAGTTGTATGTTCATGAGATTGTGAGACTTCACGGGGTGCCTGAGAGTATCATCAGTGATAGGGACCCGAAGTTTACATCTCGGTTCTGGGAGGCGCTGCAGGGAGCTTTTGGTAATCAGTTGAGATTGAGTACAGCCTATCACCCTCAGACTGACGGACAGACTGAGCGGACCATCCAAACCCTGGAGGACATGTTGAGGGCTTGCACTTTGGAGCAGGGCTTAGCATGGGATAGGTACCTGCCATTGGTGGAGTTTTCGTATAACAACAGTTTCAATGCGAGCCTGGGCATGGCACCCTACGAGGTGTTGGTCGGGCACTCGGAGTAAGGAAGCTTAGCCCGAGATTCATTAGGCCATACCAGATCCTTGGTAGAGTAGGACCAGTTGCCTACCGACTTGCCTTGCCTCCGAACTTGGCCAACATCCACGACGTGTTTCACGTGTCTCAGCTTCGGAAATATGTAGCAGATATTTCGCACGAGGTGTAACCAGTTGTTGTGGAAGTTCAGGAGAACTTGAAAACTCCTGTCGGACCACTTAAGATTCTCGATCGTGGCGAGAAGAAGCCGAGGAGCAAGATCATTCTGATGGTCAAAATGCAATGGACTAAAAGGACACCTAAAGAGTGTACTTGGGAGCGAGAGGACGAGCTTCTCCAGCAGTATCCCGACTTCTGAGACAGGTATGTTTTTGATTTTGAGGGCAAAATCCTAAAAAGGTGGGGTGAATGTAAGAACCCGCACCGTTAATTTAGGAAGTTAATTAATTAATTATGAGAAATTAGGAAATAAATCCATAATTATAACATCCCATCTATTTAGGAACCTATTTAAATTGCAATTAGGAATGAGGTAGAGTACTTGTCTTCGGATTATATCAATGTTTGCTTTAGGTTGGAGTTAAATTAAATTAGAGAATTCTTGGTATTACTTTGGAAGGTGAGTACCTATTTTATACATGTGAAATTCTAGTTATGAGAATGAGAATAATTTAATTATATGAGTACTCATTAAGAGTATGTGATTAATTTTATTACAAAGAATAAACCCCTAGTAAGTAATTAGTAGGATATATATATGTGAGGGGTGAACCTTTAGGACACTTAAATTGGAGCCCACTTCCCTTTAAGGGCCACGGGCCAAGTCTCCAAATGTGGAGCTAAAATCAACCCAAGGTACTTTCTCCACATGACTCCTTATCTTATCCCAAACAAATCCCACATGTCAGCCTATTATTGGTCTGGAATCAACACTTGTTCCTCATCTCCCTTCACATGCGCTGGTTGTAGGAGAAGAGAAAAAGAATTCTGATCCCATGCATTGGTATTAAAATCCATCCAGCCAATGCATGCTTTCCATGTGTCAATTTCACTCTCTTTCTTCTCTTGCATGTCCGCCACATCCACACACACATTGAGACACATGAATTCTGCTCCTAGGTCGGCCAAGCTCCTCATTGTTATTCAGAATTTATCTTTTAATGACTCACCGCCCATTTCACCTTCTCATCTTGTGCGCATTGCAAGAGAGAAAAACACACAAAGTAATCTGACTACTTGTCCTTCTTCTTGGTTCAGAATCGTCAGCCATTTCCCCCACTTTCCCTATGTGCCTAGCATCCGGAACCTACTTGCATGTCTATTGATTGGTCCAGAGAATTTAACTCAGCACAATTCTCATCTCCTCCAAGCCGTAAGTCCCAAACGAGGAGGATCTAAATACCTAAACGTGCGTTTTCCTCTTCCTCCTTCATATGGGTCGAATTGGTAGTATCAAGGGAGTAAATAGGTTTCCCCTAAACTCGGACTTCCTCTCTGCTCCGCACGAATTTGTTGGAACTTCTCTCTTTTATTCAGAGCTCTTCATCTGCTCATCGATTTGTTTTCTTGGTCCAGCCGTAGCACAATCTTCAAGGAGGTGGGGTATTGTTCTATTCCCTTGTTTTTCTAGTCTTGAGTCGGCCTTGATTGGGGTGCATTCAGCGTTGAAGTGTGAATCTGGAAAGGGAAGGCGAGGACAATTGTGTAACCATTGGTTGCTGCCTCCTATTAAGTGACTAGTGAAACCTTGAGTATATACGTGGGGGCTGTGGAACGTAGACCAAGTCCCTATCTCATCTTCACTTCTCGACTCTGTTGAGGTAGGCTAAGAAAAATATATCTTGCTATTTTGTTCCATCCCTTTTCTGTTCAGTAGGTGAATCGTTAATCCTTTGAAGCATGCAAGTTAAATTATTTTATTATGTGATTAGATATTAGCCCTGTTGACTGCTTCTTGTATTAAATAAATTGGTTAAGCCTTATATGGGGAAAAAGTGATTGGACAGTATTTGCTGAGACCCTATTAGCGCCCCTGGTCTTGCGAAATTTGGAAAGTTACTGATGTATATTATGTAGATAAAAAAATCAAAGTAATGTTTAACTCTAAGAAGACCGAACCTGCATGCTTCTAAAACCTTGGAAATTTAGTCAATTGCTAGTAATGGTTAGGCTAAAATTAAGGCGGTAAATTGGTAGCTTTAGAAACATAATAAACCGATTGGAGTATGAGCATTGGAAGTATTGAAATTAGTTGTAAATCATAGGGGACCAAGATGGGAATACCTAAGGAAAATTAGGATTAGATGGCATATAAATTACTTAGCAAGTTATAGGATTTTATTATGATAATATGTTATTAATTAATGGGAATTTCTTATAAATAATAGGTAATATGAATAAAGTTCATGTTTGTTGTACCATTGGTTAGGTGAGCATAATTACTAAAGTGTTAGGCTACTTTGGCTGGACTAGATTTTGTATCAAACCTTGCATGAATTAAACTCTGTTAGACATCATGTTTTAGGCCCTCTTTAGCGCACCATGGTCCTTTGGAGTTAAATTTGTGAATAAAATGTCATGAACTTGTTTTACATATTGAAACCCGAATTGGTGTGCTTGGGAAATATTGGATGTTTTCGCTGATTAAAAGTAAATAAAAATTAATTGAAGACAGAATGTTGTTAGGGAAAGAACCATGATAACCGATTGAGAATAAAGGGGTCTAGAGGAAACTTTATGTAACGTACAGGAATAATGTGAAATAAAATTCTGATTTGTTATGTATTTGTTTAGGTCCGCGAACGTCTAAGAAAGTGGACTGAATTGGTGATAAGTGTGTTTAAAAAGTTGTAAACGTCACAGGTATGTATTAGGTGGTATTACCTAATGTGATTATTAACTAGTGTATGAAATTGTGAAGTGTTGCTCACATATGTTCCATGTTATTTTATGATTATGATGTGGCAACGGTAAGGATATGAAATGATGATAATGATATATGCATGCATTTTTACATCCTGATACACTTTCTGTTTGGTGTGACTGCATAGCATGGCATGTAGACTTAGAACTCATGACATCCTAGAATATATATATAAGGACATGTGACTGAGCACACATCATATAGGCATCCCTCGGTACCAGGGTATGGGACACTTGGCATCCGTCCGCATAGGTCACAGTGGAATTCACCAAATGAGGGTGCCGTGCATTGAATTTTCACCGTGTTTGTACGCGCACGACGGTGCTATGAGCGTAAAGATGGCGTTATATACGCACTATGATATATGATGTTGTTTATCAAGAAATGAAGTCAATGTTGATGCGACTGTTTTATAATTTTGTGCCTAGTTTAATACTGTTGCATTATTGGTTTTATTGCCACACTACTGGGATTATTCTCACCCCTTTGGGGCTGCTATTTTTACAAAATGGCAGGGGGACGGAAGAGCATATGAAGATATAGCTATTTGCTGTTATTTGCTGCTTGAACTTTTGCTGTTGCTGTTTATTTAATGGATGACTGTACTATTTTGGATATTTTGGTATGCTTGGATGATTGTTGGAACTATGATTTTACTGCATGTTGAAGACTTTTTGAGCAGCAAGTATGTTAGGGAAAATTAAAAAAAAAACATTTTGCGAAAACAATTTATTACGTTTAATTAAGTGCTGAATTTTTGACAGCCATGCGAGCACTTTAAAAGTTATATTTAGTATAGTAAACGACCTTCGATTCTCTATTATTTTATATGCACGCGAAGCCCCAAGCGTCTACTTCCAGATTATAACAACTGTGCCAACAGATTTTGAAAGCTCGATTTTATATCAATATTTAAAGGAATACGGTTTTTCTTAAATTTTCACCGTTTTCATCAGCAATACATTTTAAGTTCTGTCCATCAAAATTTTCCTTGGATTCAGCTTTCCACTACATTTCCTCAAAGATTTTTAAAGAAAAAGCTTCTTCACAAAATTTCGCAACTCTAATAATGATTAGCAAACGACTCTCTTGGATGCATACAAGGGAGGGTGTTACACTAATTGGTATCAGAGCAATTTTGATTCAAGGTGCTTGTATTGATGAAATGCTTGCTGTTTGTGCCTGGTTGTTGGATGGTTGTTGTTTGAATTTATTGGTTGTTGGTATATTTTCGCTGAATTGTTGCATTGTTTGGACTTAGCTGTGAATGAGTTACTGGTTAAAATTGTCTTATGTATGGAGGTGTGAAGCTACTGGTAGTACCCGGTACTAAGCATGGCTATGCAGATTTCCTTGTTAGGTGGTGAGCCTGATCAACTCACTGTCACGCAAGTTGTGTGTGCACAATCATGGTTATCACGGAGGACACTTGTGTCTGAGCACTAGGTGTGAAATAGTAAATTGCTATTTGACTTAAGGGTGAATTATTAATTCTGTTTTCTATGAATTATAAGTAGGGTTTTATATCTATATATGCTTGATGTGAAGATTTTTGTGATATTCTAAGCTGTGGATGATAGTAAGTTATTTTTTTATAATGATTGCTGTTACATAATTGTTTTTCTGATTTGACTTTTCTTGGGTGCTGTGATTGTAGCGTATAGCTGGGTAGTAGAAACTGTTATTATTTTCGCTAATTCTGCTAAGTCTCAAAACTGAGTAAGGGTAACAGTGGTGTAATCATGACGATAATGTAGTTAATTAGCCTTACGAAGGACTTGTTATTAGATCTGAAAACTGTACGAAGACAAACTTATGTAGGAATAGGCCACTTACTTAAGTAGATCCAGTTAATGCCCTTAAAAAGTAGAAGTTGGAACTAATCAAGACTTAGACATGTGGGTCTGCTGTCGCTACAAATCTTCTAATGGTGAATTGGCACTAGACATCATTCTTGAGAAAGAAGCTGTTAAACAAAGTGGTGATGTGTAGAGTATGATATTTTATCCCTGTCCCTGTGTCCTTCTTGTGAGTGATACTTGTCATTTTACTTCGTACATATTGGATTGCTTGGTGTGATTTTGACCACTTTTCGACTTGCACGTCGATTTATTGTCTCGGATTATAACAATAGATTTGAGGTGCTGATGATTGAATTTACTAGTTTAGATTTTTAACACTTCATGAGGAATGCATAATTAAAGAAAGGTTATCTGAACTGAATTTAGAATATAGCAAACTGAATAGGTAGACTGTAATTACTTGGAAATACACTTTTTGGCTTGTTTTATTATGTTGGTTAATTAACACTTTGCTAAAATTAATCTTTGAGTAAGCATCAGAAGGTTCTAACTGGTTACTAAAAATGTTGTTTGACCATGCATGAGTATGAATAATATGCACTAATGATACTATTGGATTAGAAAGGGATATTAGAATTTGACTGTTTATCGGCTTTAACTATTATGAGCTCATACCTGCTAGTTTCATTAGAATTGTGGATTTGAAAATATGATGTCTGCTGATACAAAGGAGTTTAAGTTTGGTTTATTATGTAAACACTATAATATCCACTTGGTTAAATCAGTTTGTTGCATCTCTTGAATATCTATATTTAAATCGTTTAACACTGGTCACATGTAAATTTTAGCTGTATGATTCGGGTTCCCTGCTGGATGAATTACAATTGAATTTGTTGAACAATGCATTATGCTTGGTCCTTAATTTAATCTGTTCTTTGTATATATTGTTAAAGTAGAATCTGAAGTACACCTAATTTTCTTTGGTGGACTAATGGGAATTTAAAGAAAAATTTGTTTTAATTAAATACCTTGCACTAGATGTATAAATTGTTAGAAATTATTTTGTGCAAATTGTTTATGCCACAACCCAAATTACTCAGTGATGTTCATCATCTTCTAGTTGAGCTACACGGCCTCTGAACCCCCTATACAAATATATTTTGCTGCTATGAGTATTGACTTTTAAATTACATGTATCCACTACATAATTTGATGGAACTATAAAAAAAAAAATAGTGGGTCTATAATTTTGTTGTTCTAGGCTAAATTTTTGGAATGAATCATTATCTTGATATAATTGCATGTGTGTTCAAACCCTAGATCTAAATTACTATGAACCTTCCTTATCTTCTGCACATGTTTGTTAAGAACTGTTAATCATTTTGTATAAGTCATTCGAGCTGGTATCACTTAGAAATTTAGTTATACATGCATGGTTCCATGAACACTTCATATAAAAACTGAGTGCATAATGTAAGAGTTGAATTTAAATTAAGCACTCTGATTTTGGTCATTTTCTGTTTAATCGACACATTATTCAACCTGTGAATTAAATATGTTGCTGTAAATCTCATGCTTAAAAGTTTGATATTCATTTTGAAATTGTTTAAATATGCCATGAGATATTATCATCATTTTTGAAATGTTCTCATTGAATAGATGTATTGCTGTTTGTACAGATGAGATTAGCTATTGTTTAAGAAACTTGGAATTTGATGTTGTTCATGCATGAGGTCTCATACAGTAAAATATTATTTGTCCCTTGAATGCAAATTTAATTATAGCTAGGAACTTTGAGTGTGATTATTGTGAGCTTGATTTATGAAAGTTTGGTCTGTTTTAGTGGATTGTGTTTGGTAGCTATATCGAGATTGTAATATGTGTCAATGATTTGAAAGTCATATCATGGTTAATGGATCCTCTGATCAGTGGAGTCAATTACATCTGAGGTACCTAGGACAGCGGAAAGCTCGAGGAAGTTTCCTCATGGGGATGTTTTGACGAACTGGATGAGGGGTACCAATTAACATGATATGTCAGAAAAGTAGGATTAAGATGTTGTGATTTTATGAAGACTCCGTTCGTTTGAAAATTGGAATGAGATGTGCCTTATTTTAATTGCTTGAATTCTTGAAGGCTAATAAATATACCGAATCATGTTTGTGATTGTATCTAGTAAGGTGATTGATGTATAAGTCTGAATGTGAGGCAAATGTGTGATGGTTTAGTGAGTGAACTGAGCCATTATCATAGATGAGGAATTAAGTAGGGAGCGATGGCACTTCTAAGTTGTAACGTGTATATTACTAAGATGAAATATTTAAAATTGGAGACCCTAGTTAATTAGCCTTTATATGTGCACAGGTAATGAAGGTAATATCACTTCCTTGTTAATTACACCCCTACATTCTTAGGAACTTTTTGGGTTTGAGCTACTGAATTGTTAGTTGCATTTTTATGAAACCTTTAAATTTTGATCGGATGAGTAATAGTATGGTGACGTCAAGGGTGAGTGGTAATATAGGGGATTTTGAGAGGCCATCTGTCTATTGTCATGTTCTATTGTGTACATTAAAAGTTTGAATCGAATGAATAAAATATGTGATCACTTATGCTTGCCCTAGAAATAAGCATTAGAATTTATAAAGAAAAGAAGTGTTTTGCAAATGGATTTGTTAGTTGTTTATTAATTAGGCACTAAACCCTGAGCTCTATGACAATAATTTTTTTTATATATAGCTGGAATTTCTTGGTTTAGTAAGATGTTTGTCCGTTTTAGTCCATTTGTGTTTTATGGTAATTGTTGTTGTTAAAGAGAATTCAGGAAATTGCTTGTATCATGGTTAAACTTAGGAAGATTTTTTTTTATTTCCTTTTGTACGAACAAAATTGTGTTGTACCTATATTATCTAATAATCTTGTAAAGTACAAATTGTTGTTGATGCTCTGAGATGATGATAGTTTTTATAGCTGACTATATGAATGCAGTGAATCGTATGGCATGGTGTAATGGTATTAGACGTTAGACTTAGGCAGATTTTGGGATGGCAAGACGAAGTTTGGGGACAAACTTCAAAACAAGTTGGGGAGAGTGTGACATCCCGTCTATTTAGGAACCTATTTAAATTGCAATTAGGAATGGGGTAGAGTACTTGTCTTCGGATTATATCAATGTTTGCTTTAGGTTGGAGTTAAATTAAATTAGGGAATTCTTGGTATTACTTTGGAAGGTGAGTACCTATTTTATACATGTGAAATTCTAGTTATGAGAATGGGAATAATTTAATTATATGAGTACTCATTAAGAATATGTGATTAATTTTATTACAAAGAATAAACCCCTAGTAAGTAATTAGTAGGATATATATATGTGAGGGGTGAACCTTTAGGACACTTAAATTGGAGCCCACTTCCCTTTAAGAACCACGACCCAAGTCTCCAAATGTGGAGCCAAAATTAACCCAAGGTACTTTCTCCACATGACTCTTTATCTTATCCCAAACAAATCCCACATGTCAGCCTATTATTGGTCTGGAACAACACTTGTTCCTCATCTCCCTTCACATGCGCTGGTTGTAAGAGAATAGAAAAAGAATTCTGATCCCATGCATTGGTATTAAAATCCATCCAGCCAATGCATGCTTTCCATGTGTCAATTTCACTCTCTTTCTTCTCTTGCATGGCCGCCACATCCACACACACATTGAGACACATGAATTCTGCTCCTAGGTCGGCCAAGCTCCTCATTGTTATTCAGAATTTATCTTTTAATGACTCACCGCCCATTTCACCTTCTCATCTTGTGCGCATAGCAAGAGAGAAAAACACACAAAGTAATCTGACTACTTGTCCTTCTTCTTGGTTCAGAATCGTCAGCCATTTCCCCCACTTTCCCTATGTGCCTAACATCCGGAACCTACTTGCATGTCTATTGATTGGTCTAGAGAATTTAACTCAGCACAATCCTCATCTCCTCAAAGCCGTAAGTCCCAAACGAGGAGAATCTAAATACCTAAACGTGCGTTTTCCTCTTCCTCCTTCATATGGGTCGAATCAGTAGTATCAAGGGAGTAAATAGGTTTCCCCTAAACTCGGACTTCTTCTCTGCTCCACACGAATTTGTTGGAACTCCTCTCTTTTATTCAGAGCTCTTACCTGCTCATCGATTTGTTTTCTTGGTCCAGCCGTAGCACAATCTTCAAGGAGGTGGGGTATTGTTCTATTCCCTTGTTTTTCTAGTCTTGAGTCGGCCTTGATTGGGGTGCATTCCCTTGCATGCAGCGTTGAAGTGTGAATCTGGAAAGGGAAGGCGAGGACAATTGTGTAACCATTGGCTGCTGCCTCCTATTAAGTGACTAGTGAAACCTTGAGTATATACGTGGGGGCTGTGGAACGTAGACCAAGTCCCTATCTCATCTTCACTGCTCTCTTGGAAATAATCAAGTGTGAGTGAGTAGTGGTGAAGTAAGTTCCACATAGGCTAGACATAGACCAAGTGATGACCATATAAGTGCAAAAGACCCATAAACCTACAGCCTTAAGGTTTTGGGTTGAGATGTGGTGTCGGCCCACTTATCATGGTTTGTCATTTGGCCCATTGGTGGATGTACCCTTTGCAAAGGGTTTTGGGCTCCCTCGTTTCATTCCTAACTCTGGTATCAGAGCCAACGATCTGGGCTAAGTGTTTGGAAGGCCTCTGCAGAAGGCTAGTGTGACCCTAATATTTGAAGAGAAAAAAGACTTCCGCAGAAGTTGACCTTAGAGTAAGAATGATATTGGGCCTTACACTTGAGGAAGGATGTTGGAAATAATCAAGTGTGAGTGAGTAGTGGTGAAGTAAGTTCCACATAGGCTAGACATAGACCAAGTGATGACCATATAAGTGCAAAAGACCCATAAACCTACAGCCTTAAGGTTTTGGGTTGAGATGTGGTGTCGGCCCACTTATTATGGTTTGTCATTTGACCCATTGGTGGATGTACCCTTTGCAAAGGATTTTGGGCTCCCTCGTTTCATTCCCTACATGCTCGACTCTGTTGAGGTAGGCTAGGAAAAATATATCTTGCTATTTTGTTCCATCCCTTTTCTGTTCAGTAGGTGAATCGCTAATCCTTTGAAGCATACAAGTTAAATTATTTTATTATGTGATTAGATATTAGCCCTGTTGACTGCTTCTTGTATTAAATAAATTGGTTAAGCCTTATATGGGGAAAAAGTGATTGGACAGTATTTGCTGAGACCCTATTAGCGCCCCTGGTCTTGCGAAATTTGGAAAGTTACTGATGTAGATTATGTAGATAAAAAAATCAGAGTAATGTTTAACTCTAAGAAGACCGAACCTGCATGCTTCTAAAACCTTGGAAATTTAGTCAATTGCTAGTAATGGTTAGGATAAAATTAAGGCGGTAAATTGGTAGCTTTTGAAACATAATAAACCGATTGGAGTATGAGCATCGGAAGTATTGAAATTAGTTGTAAATCATAGGGGACCAAGATGGGAATACCTAAGGAAAATTAGGATTAGATGGCATATAAATTACTTAGCAAGTTATAGGATTTTATTATGATAATATGTTATTAATTAATGGGAATTTCTTATAAATAATAGGTAATATGAATAAAGTTCTGGTTTGTTGTACCATTGGTTAGGTGAGCATAATTACTAAAGTGTTAGGCTACTTTGGCTGGACTAGATTTTGTATCAAACCTTGCATGAATTAAACTTAGTTAGACATCATGTTTTAGGCCCTCTTTAGCGCACCATGGTCCTTTGGAGTTAAATTTGTGAATAAAATGTCATGAACTTGTTTTACATATTGAAACCCGAATTGGTGTGCTTGGGAAATATTGGATGTCTTCGCTGATTAAAAGTAAATAAAAATTAATTGAAGACAGAATGTTGTTAGGGAAAGAACCATGATAACCGATTGAGAATAAAGGGGTCTAGAGGAATGAAAACTTTATGTAACGTACAGGAATAATGTGAAATAAAATTCTGATTTGTTATGTATTTGTTTAGGTCCGCGAACGTCTAAGAAAGTGGACTGAATTGGTGATAAGTGTGTTTAAAAAGTTGTAAACGTCACAGGTATGTGTTAGGTGGTATTACCTAATGTGATTATTAACTAGTGTATGAAATTGTGAAGTGTTGCTCACATATGTTCCATGTTATTTTATGATTATGATGTGGCAACGGTAAGGATATGAAATGATGATAATGATATATGCATGAAATTTTTACATCCTGATACACTTTATGTTTGGTGTGACTGCATAGCATGGCATGTAGACTTAGAACTCATGACATCCTAGAATATATATATATAAGGACATGTGACTGAGCACGCATCATATAGGCATCCCTCGGTACCAGGGTATGGGACACTTGGCATCCGTCCGCATAGGTCACAGTGGAATTCACCAAATGAGGGTGCCGTGCATTGAATTTCCACTGTGTTTGTACGCGCACGACGGTGCTATGAGCGTAAAGATGGCGTTATATACGCACTATGATATATGATGATGTTGTTTATCAAGAAATGAAGTCAATGTTGATGCGACTGTTTTATAATTTTGTGCCTAGTTTAATACTGTTGCATTATTGGTTTTATTGCCACACTACTGTGATTATTCTCACCCCTTTGGGGCTGCTATTTTTACAAAATGGCAGGAGGACGGAAGAGCATATGAAGACATAGCTATTTGCTGCTTGAACTTTTGCTGTTGCTGTTTATTTATGGATGACTGTACTATTTTGGATATTTTGGTATGCCTGGATGATTGTTGGAACTATGATTTTACTGCATGTTGAAGACTTTTTGAGCAGCAAGTATGTTAGGGAAAATTAAAAAAAAAAACATTTTGCGAAAACAATTTATTACGTTTAATTAAGTGCTGAATTTTTGACAGCCATGCGAGCACTTTAAAAGTTATATTTAGTATAGTAAACGACCTCCGATTCTCTATTATTTTATATGCATGCGAAGCCCCAAGCGTCTACTTCCAGATTATAACAATTGTGCCAACAGATTTTGAAAGCTCGATTTTATATCAATATTTAAAGGAATACAGTTTTTCTTAAATTTTCACCGTTTTCATCAGCAACACATTTTAAGTTCTGTCCATCAAAATTTTCCTTAGATTCAGCTTTCCACTACATTTCCTCAAAGATTTTTAAAGAAAAAGCTTCTTCACAAAATTCCGCAACTCCAATAACGATTAGCAAACGACTCTCTTGGATGCATACACGGGAGGGTTACACTAATTGACCCTAATAATTATGACAATGCTTGAATAATTATGGTAAGTGATTAATAATGCTGAAAGTCGCTTTTCTGATGAAAAGTGCAGATACCGGTTCTGCTACTCGGTATAAATGCGTACCGATGAATTATCCCGGAAAATTATGAAAAGTGTGTTATGTCACTAGAATAATATATAGGACTTGTAAAACGAGTTTCAAGTTAAAATAATGAGAACAGGTGCCAGAACTGATACTGGCTATGGAAAAGCGCGTACCGAAAAAGTGCTGCGAAAATTAAAATAAAAATATGATAAATCTTAGAAAAATGAGTAGGTTCAGAATCCTAAGTTTGGGATTAAAATGCTAAGCGTAGCTATTAGCGCTAATACGGTGCGATTAAGACTTAAGTGGCTATATATAAGAGTGGCACATGATCCTAGGTCTAACATTTGCACCTCTACGTAGCATTTGCTGGAGCCTTTGTAGTTAGCCACCCCTTGCCACCTTCCTCTCCATCTTTGTGAGCCAAGATGCCACCTTTCCTCTTGGTTTCTTCACCAAACCTCCTAGTGTGAGTGTGCTTGGGCCTTGGGAGAGTAAAAGATGCTTCTTTTTTGAGTTTAGTTTCTGTGTTGGTAGTCTTTGGGGGGCTGAGTTCTTGTGTTGGGTTGTGGGGGTTATCCTCTTGGCTTGTGGAGCTCCAAGAAGCTTCCTTTGTAAAGAAAGGACCTATCTTTGTGTGCCATTTTCGTGCACCTTGTGAAGTCAGACTTGAGGAGCTGTTGGGGAGCTCCAAGAGCAACCTTGCTCTGTTTTGAGCCTTGGGTAAGTTGTTCAACCTTTGATCATGAGTTTTAATGGGTAAAGGTTAGTCTTGGCATGTTAATAGAAAGTTGATTTCTTTTCTAATCGTAACTAAATCTTCCACAAGTAACCAACCTGTATTTGAACTTAAAAGAGAGTAAAAATGCATGCTTTAACGTTTAGAAGTGTTAAAAATGGAACCTTTGAAGTGATATCTCGCGAAAAGCAGAAACTGCATTCTGTCACGAAATATCCGTGTAACACCCTCCCTTATATGCATCCAGGAGAGTTGTTTGCTAAGCGGAATTAGAGTTCGTTCGTCACAATTTTATGTACTGAAAAATCATTTTGACGTTCCTAATTAAAACACAGTTGAAATCAGATTACTTACAAAAATCAGAGTATACTTTCAAAATTCTTAACTTGCTGAAATTATTATTTTCCTGGCAGACGTTGCTGTCTTGCAAAATTTGTATAAAATCCAGTTTTCAAAATTCCATTGTAACGTTTACATGATCTGAAAATAGACACGTGGGGCTTATAAGCGAATCGGAGGTCTGTAGCCCCACTAAATATAACCCGTAAAGTGCTCGTTAAATCTGTTTAGAAAATCAGCATTCAAAAACCTCAGAAATTATTTTCGCAAAACGTTTCAGGAATTTGTTTTCAAAATACTTGCTGATCACAAAAGTCTTAAAACAGTAATAAAATCATAATTCAACAGTAATCCAAACTACTCAATTTAATACAGTCATCCATCAAATAAACAGCAACAGCAATAGTCCATACAGCAGCACATAACAACACATATCCATATAATCATGTCTTCCAATGCTCTTCCGTCCTCCTGCCATTTTGTAAAAATAGCAGCCCCAAAAGGGGTGAGAAAAATTCCAGTAGTGTGGCAACAAAACCAGTAATTCAACAGTACTACCTAGGCACAAAATCATAAACAGTCACATCAACATTTCATTTTCCGTTACATATCATAGTGCGCATATAACGCCATCATTACGCTCATAGCACCTTCGTGCGCGTACTAACATTTCATAGTGCGTATATAATGCCATATTCATCATAATGCGTATATAACGCCTTCATTGCGCTCATAGCACCGTCGTGCGTGCACCATCACAGTGGATATTCCATAATGGCTCCCTCAAAGGTGAATTCCAACTGTGGCCTATGCGGACGGAAGCCAAGTGTCCCATACCCTGGTACCGAAGGGATGCCTATATGATGTGTGCTCATACACATGGTCCTGTATATAACTATTCTAAATTTCAAGGCTAACATGAATCCTGTGCATGCATGCCATGCTATGCTGTCACACACAAAGCAGAAAAACAGATGCGGTATGATGTAAAGTGCATGCTTATATCATCATTATCATAACATATCCTTCATGTACTTTTGATGCCATACTGCCACGCCATCATTTCTTTTCATAACAGAGTTACCATTATAACATTTCCATAGGCAGAATATTTTCATCATAAATAGCAGGATAATCATTAGGCACATGTGAGCAACAATTCACAACTTCATACACTAGTTAATAGTCACATTAGGTAATACCACCTAACACTTACCTTGCTTGTCACAATTAATTTACCAGGCAGCAGCTAAAATGGTCCCAAGTCTCACAAAATATGCGCACCTATATATATATATATATATATATATATATATATATATATATAAGTGCAATCCAATCAGAATACGTTCTAAGCAATTACTTATAAATTACCAATGAGTTTCCAAGCTTAAGGGTTCATGCACCCATTCGGCCACCACTGCTATTTTCCCAAAGATATTCTAACTTTAATTTAAGCTTTACCAACGCTAAACAGCGTGAATTTCTAATGTTCCCAACCAAGGCAGATTCGGTTATAACAAAAATTATACAAGATTTTATTCATAAAATTCCTATTTCTCTATTCAAGGTGCGCAAAAGAGAAGCCTATTATCATGCTGTCTAAATAATTTAAATGGAGTTTAGTTCATACCAAGACTCATCAAAACAGAATTTTATTCCCTATTAGCTACATGTCAGCCGAACAATGTGGAAAGGAGAAGAAGATTCTAAACACAACTTACATGTTCATAAGCGCACCCTAGACCATCATCAGGCAAGGAGCAGCCCTAACACTACTCCTATGCTCCAAGAGACCGGTTCTAATTACATGCAAGGAAGGGAAGGCTTCGACCACAGCTGAATCAAACGCATGCAAGGGAAATTTTACTCAGAACCGATCCAAGAACAAGTGAACAAGAAAACCCGAAGGAACACCTCACCTCCTTGATGGGTGTCTTGGCCGAACCAGTGGAATGGGGAAAAATGGTTGAGCTTGTTCTCAATCTCCTTTGATGTGGTCTACGACTGATCAAGGAAAGAGGGATTAGAAGTTAGGTCATGGTTCTTTCCCTTGTTAAGCTCGCGGTTTTGAGGGAGTGGGGAGTAGGCTGGGTTTTCTAGCTTTTTCTTAGAATGTGCACCATTGTTTTTCTGTTCTCTTCTTAGTGATGTGTAAAGGGGTGAGGATGATGAGTAGACTTTCTTTTTCTTTTGTGATTCACGGACATATGAGGTGCGATTATTTGTTTGAGATAATAAGAAAGTGAAGTCTTAATTAGGGAGATGCTTGGCCGTGAGATAGAGGAGGGAATCCAAGTGTCACACATGCAAAGAATAGAAGGGTAGGTGTCATGCATGCAAGAGGGTGGAAGAGACTTTGTTTGACACCTATAAACCATGCATTGGCTGATTTGGTTTGGATAAAGTAGCAAACAATTTAGGATTTCCTACACATCCTAGGCGTACAAAAGGGAGATGGACCAAGATAGGATTTGCCAAGTGTTCTTTATGCAATGCTAAAGGGGACTAGGTGGCGCACATGCATAGAAGTGGAGGAGATCAAGATTGACATATGGAGGGCATGCATAGGGTGGCTGACTTACTTTTCGTTCATTGGGTACACAATTAACAAGGCTGGCTTGAGGTTATCTAAGATTACAAGCAACCAGAATTTTTATTCATCCTATGCGCATAGAGGGACTACAAAAGTGGATGAGGTTTTGCCATGTGGAGATTTTTAGCCAATCAAGGCTGACTTGTTGTATTATTTAGGATTAGGTTATGATAAAATGAACCATTGGGCTGAACCAAATGCACCTCTTAAAGCCCCAAGGCTTCGGCCCTCTCATGGACTTGAGTCCACAAAATATCCTAGTCCATTAGTCTACTAACTTATAATCTAACTTACTAATTTATAATTCCCCAAGCCCTTTCAAATATTTTAATCTATCAATATGTTTTTATTAATTTATTTCTATATCTTCCAACTAAGGTTTCACATATCTAATAGGTACTCACCTACTATTGTAATTCAATAAATTCTCTTCTCAGAATTAATTCCACTTTAATAGCTATATAATTCGAAGACCAAGGGAATATTACATGTAATTCAAATTCTCTCATATGCATTCTCATGCCTTATTGTATCTTATGTATTTTCTCTAATTACGCGGGATGTTACACTCTCCCCACCTTATTTTGAAGTTTGTCCCCAAACTTTGTCCTACCGTCCCAAAGGCTACTTAGTTCAAGTGTCTAACACTATCTCGTTCGTATACTACGTTATGTTACATCCAGCTATGCATCTACAAGTCACTCCACAACAATCCGGTTACTACAACAGATTTCACCTTTGAAATAGAGTATAACAATAAGCAGATGACTCATCAAAATCCCTACATCAACACTCACTCTTGATGTCACACCGTTCT